TGGTCAAAATGGGAGTACAAAAACAATTAAGGGAAACAATAGGTGACCAATAGTTACAAAAATATGGTCTCATTTTTATGGATAGATAATTAGGCACCAAAAGTGGACAAAAAGTTAAGAAGAAAAAAAGGTGGTGGAAATCAAGGAACCTAGGATAAGGGATTAATCAAAGCAAGAGTTAAGGAAGAGATCAAGAAAAGTTGGGTCTCCTTATGTGCTCTTAAGACTTCTGTTTAGGGCTAACGGGGCCCAGTGAAAAAGGGTCTTGACTTAAGGGACGAACCTAGAATTTTAAAATAGGGTGGGCTAAATTTACTTTATGTATGCACTGGAGAGTGGAACATAAAGGTGCAACTACTGCAACGTATTTATTTATTTATTTTTCAATTAAAGGCACTATGTGTGAAGAGGGTTATAATTGAAAGGAAAATTAGCAGTAGGATGTTCATAAAAAAATAATATAAATATAATTAAAAAGAAATTGGCTGTAGGCTAAGAACAAGACGGAAATACTTTTCATTTTAGAGAGAATTTTACAGAGATGTCCTACACAAGAATGTCCAAGAATAGTCAAAGAGAATTCGGGCCAGTTTGGCATTCCTGTGCTGTGAAAATAATCGCTGTCAGATTTGCTGTGAGAGAAATCAGCTGTGAGAGAAAGCAATTTGACGTTTGGTAAACTTTTTGTTAAAAGTGTTGTTGGTACTAATTCCCACATAATCAGAAAATGATTGTCGCATAATCATTAAACTCAGCGCTTCTTCGAAATTGATTCCTGCATAATCAGAAAATGAAAGCACCTCATTAGCTGCTTTCCCTTATAGCTTTCTCTCACAGCAATTTTTAAAAATAAGTGATTTTCTCATAGTTTACCAAACGGGCTGAGCTTCTCAAATTTTTTTTAAAATCACTTATCACCCCAAATAAGCAATGCCAAACGGGCACTTCATCAATTCATTAGTTTGTCTTATCTTCTTTTCCTTAAGTGTATTGTTGGATGAGCGATGGCATAATTGTCATTAGTAGGCATGGATGGGCTAAATTAAATTTTTGGCTGATAAAGTAACAACTCACTTGGGCTATAGCCCAGGTTAGTCCCTTCTAGGGACCGTCCCTGCTTGACTTACAAATCAGAGGTCTTAAGTTCGAACCCCCATAACATCTTGGTCGTGTGTGTGTGAGAAACTCTCATCCTCTATAGTTTAGACTATCACTTGTACTAAAAAAACAAAAGACCTCTGTTTAGGATGTTGTTATGCAGAGTAAGGATCTTCTTCTTGACGAGGGTTCTTTTATGTACCTAGATAAATTAGAAATTCAATAGCCTTCTTGCTTTTCTAAGAGCACCTCCAGCGCTTGGGTCCAGCCCTGGCAAAAGGCAGCCCCAGGCCCCAAAACCCCTTCTAGCGTGCAAGGTCCAGCTCGGGCAAGAGTTGGGTCCCATGAGCCTAGGCAAGCCCATGGGCAAATTCAGCCTGAGCTGATGCCTGGGCAAAATGACACAATGCTTACGTCATAATGATGTCAACAACCAACAAAATTTGAAAAAAATTACCAAAAATTCAAGAATTTTTAAATTTTTTATTTTATTTTATAAATACCTAGCCATATTCTTTACTTCCTACATGAAAAAATCTATACAAATTCATCTCCTCATATCTCATGTGAATAGTAATTGCCATTGTCCTTACCCTTTTGGGGTGGAGGTGCTCTAATTGGAGTGCCTACTACCAATGAATTAATTCAAAGTGAACCAATGACTTTACATGAAAATTGAAATTTTTGCATATCAGTGTCGTTTAAAACAGTGAAAAGTGAAAGCAATAAAGGGAAAACCATAAGTGGAATCAATTTTCTAGTAAGTTGAAACAAAGCTTAAATTATAACAAGTTCTTAAGACTGAAAAAAATAAAATTACAACAAACTTGAGGTCTGAAAAAATGTATGACATATAGAAACCATTTAATTGTTGTTGGGTTTTTTTTTGTTTAAAAAAATAAATAAATTATACAAGCAATATTGGGAAGGGGGAATCGAACTTAAAACTTCAAATACGGGCAAATGCTTTTAACCATTGAGCTACAAGCCCCTTGCATCGTCATTGGGTTATAAGCATATTAATTGTGTAACCTAAATGTGACTCAATTTGATATTATTTATAGCAATAATACTATTTGTATCATATTTATTTATCACATTGATGACTCACATGTATTAGAGAGGTGGTTAGTGATGTGGTCAGTAAATATGGTATAAATAGCACTCTATTTATAAATGAGTTATACGAGTCATTCGTGTTATAGGTGTAACAATCGCATCATGATTTTTATTGACCCTAATCATGTTTATATATACCCATGTTTGGTTCACAGAAATAAATTCATGGGAGATTAGTTCTCATGTCTTTTCAAGAAAATGAGAAATGGAGATTCATTGCCTATGTTTGATTTGTGTAGAAATTGGAAATAAAATTTGTTTAGTTTTTCAATTGTACCCTTAAGTTAAAAAAGGTAATTAATACTTCCTTATGTTTACTTACCATAAATGGGTATGGGAGTAAAAGGAATGATTCCAATTACTAACTTCCCCACACTTACTAAACACCGAAAAATTCGTAAACACATACCCTCAAAATTAAGGAATCATATCAACTCGAGGGTAGTTGATCCGACTCCATTCATGTTCTTCCTTATTGCATTCCAAAAATAATCATACAATTTTATAATTTTCATTCGTGTGTTGATTTCATTTGGTTAGTAAACATCTAATGAGAATGACTTCTTCCCATACCAATTCTTTACTTCCCCGTTCTTAAGTTCTTAAATTCTCTCATTCCTGATAAATAAACATACTTGATATTTTTAAGGCTTATTTATGTACATGTCTCCTGTGCTTTTAAAGTTGTCTTAGATTACCACCTGTGCTTTGAAACGTCTCAAAATATCCTTACACTTTTAAAAACTGTCTCACGTTACCTGTTCCGTCAGTATTAAGAGACATTCCGTTACGTGGTGTGGGCCCCACTTCTTTTAAATCGCTTAACAATGGAGAGTAAGGGTTATTCAGTTTCAGAAAAGGGGAAATTGGGTGAGAATGGGACATTGGGAGAAGAAGGCTAGGGTTTATGAAAATCTGAGGTGAGGTTCGATTTTGGGAGAATCTAGAGAAGAGATCACTGTTTGGCGTTGGACTTTAAGGCTAGAAAGTGCAAAGATGGTGGTCCTTAGAGAATCTGGAGGTTGTCAACCCATTCTCACTCGTTTTTCTTCTTTTTGGCATGTGCATTGAACTGTTGCTGGAGTTTTTTTTTCATTTTTTTGTATACTTTTTTACTATGTGCTGGTCCTGGTGTGGTCATTGTGTGGTCCTTGTGTGTTCCTTGTGTGTTGCTGGAGTATTTTTTGTTTTTTTGTATACTTTTTTACTTTGTCCTGGTCCTGGTGTGGTCCTTCTGTGGTCATTGTGTGGTCCTTGTGTGTTCCTTGTATTGTCCTTGTGTGGTCTTTGTTACCTTTGTCGATTTGTTAAGTGAATCTTCCTCATACCTCTTACACAGATAAAGATCCTGACAAGGTTGTTACATATAAGTTTTTCCATGGAGGTAAACTAGTTAAAAATGAAAGGGATAGTAAATGGTCTTATTTGGGTGGTGAAGTCAATTGGTTTGATTATTGTGAGGTTGACTATATGTCCGTATTAGAGCTATTTGGAATGGCTAAAGATTTGGGATATGACGATGAGTATGATGTGAGTTTTTATGGTGAAGAGTTTGAAATTGGTAGACACATTCAAATAGTATCAGATAGTACACTTTTAGCTTGTATGAGCACGATACCTAAAAGCAATAGCAGGTTGATAGTTTTGTACTTGAAAGCAGTGAGCCTGACTTCAAGCCAAGTGGGGAATGATAGTAGTGATCTAGAATATTCTTTTTCTGAGGATGATGATAACAGTGATCCAGACTTTGAAGACAGTGACTATGCACAGAGTGATGAAGAGATTGACTTATTGAAGAAGGATGATAAGTGGTTTGAAGGTTATGTGGATCATACTTGTACTGACAATGATCTTAATGCAAAGAAAAATGATGAGTCAAACAGTGGAGAAGAGTCACCTACACTTACCTGCCCAAGTAGCTCTTCAAGTGAAGATGAAGTACTAGGTGAACTAAGAAGGAGGAGGAATAGAATGCCAAAAGGTGAAGATTTCAAACCTGAAATTGATATGGCAAACCCAGGATTCAAAGTGGGTTTAAAGTTTGCAATTGCCGAGATGTTTAGAAAAGCTATGAGGATATACTTGATGGAAGTTGAGGTTACACCCCAAAACCAATTGGCAATGGGGGGGAGTAGCCCAACTCCTTATAAATATAGGCTAGGTCCCTTAACTTTTCAATGTGGGACAAATACTCCCAACAATACTCTATTAATTGTGGAAGGGAGTTGATATTTATGAATAATGACCATAACAAAATAAGAGTAGTATGTGAATAGGGCTGTCCTTTTGTTATCCATGCTTCACGTGTTAGTGGTAGCACTTACCTGCATGTGAAAACCTTTAATTCTACACATGTTTGTAGTAAGGGGAGTAAAAATATACATGCCACTGCTAGCTGGTTGGCTGAAAGATATTCCGGGCAGTTAAGGCTCAATTCAAATTAGACTGCTTCTTCTTTTGCAGAGCAAGTTCACAAAGACTATGGTTACATACCATTTAGAGCAACAGTGTACAGAGCAAGACCCATGGCAATTGACATTGTAGAGGGGTCTTACAGTAAACAATATGAAGTATTGTGGGATTATTGTCATGAGTTAAGAACGAGAAATGTGGGAAGTACAGTTATCATTAAATCTAAAATGGAAGGTGTTAGGCTACGATTTTAGAGGATTTACATCTGTCTTGCAACCTGCAAGAAGGGGTTTTTAAATGGTTGTAGGCTTGTGGTTTGCTTGGATGGGTGTCATGTCTAAGGGCCTCACCCTGGGCAAGTGATTTCTGCAATGGGAGTTGATGCAAACAGCGGAATGTTTCCACTTGCCTATGCATATGTAGAGATTGAGAGCAATTCAGCGTGGCTATGGTTTCTAGAATTATTGAGTGGTGATTTGAATATTACGAATATTCATGGTTATGTATTTACGACTAACAAGCAAAAAGGTTTAATAGATGTTGTGGATGCTCTATTCTCTCATGCAGAGCACAACCATTGTTTGAAACATCCATATGGAAACTTCTATTTGGAGCATAGAGGTCTTGCTTTGAAACATCAAATGAAAGCAATTGGTAGGGCCACAACAGTGCCATGGTTTGATGTAGAGATGCGAAAGATGTTGGAGTTCTCTAAACCTGCACATGATTGGCTTGCAGAGAAAGATCCTAGGCATTGGAGTAGGGCATATTTCAAGACTGATCCCAAGTGTGACATGCTTATGAACAACCTCTGTGAGGCATTCAACCATAGCATAATGGATGCCAGAGACAAGCCTGTTTTGACTATGCTAGAAAGAATTCGGTTGTATATAATGTTGTTGATGGCTGGAAGAAGGGTTTTCTGTGAAAAATGGCATGGACAAGTTGGGCCAAGAATTAGAAAAATATTAGAGAAAAACAAAGGAAAAGCTCAGTGGTGCATTCCTAAGGCTACTGGACAAAATAGGTTTGAAGTAATGCACCATATTGGCCGCAACTTTGCTGTTGATTTGAATACCCACTCTTGTTCATGCCATGCATGGGATTTGAATGGAATACCATGTTTGCATGCTTGTGCTGCAATAAGTTGGTTTCATGGGAATCCAGAGGACTTTTGTGATGCAGTGTATAAGAAAGAGGCTTATTTGAGAGCCTATGAACCAATGATTATGCCTATGACTAGCCAAGATCAGTGGATGAAGATTAATTTACCTCGATTACTCCCTCCAAAATACCACAAGCAGCCTGGTAGGCCTAAGAAGACAAGGAAACAAGCTTTTGATGACCCTAAACAACCTGCTAATCCATATAAGCTTCCTAGGTATGATGTTCTTTTAAAGTGTGGCAATTGCCGTGGAGAAGGGCATAATTGAATTAGTTGTAAGGTATGTGTCATTATCCAAAATTGCTTTACATTTAAATCTATTTGATATGGTTTGTAACTTGATGACTTTACTTATTAGGAACCTACAAATCCCAACATAAGCCTACTAGGAAGAGGAAAATTGCCAAGGAAAAACTTCCAGTAAGTGCCACGGTTTGAACTATGTATTCACTATTCAGATTTTCATATCATGCCTACCTAATTATTATTTGTTTTAGGTAAGAAGGAGAGATGGTAGAGAGCAAAGTAGCGGACAACAAAGTATGCAACTAAGGCAAAGGAAACAAGCAAGTGGTTCCCAATGGCCTTCTCAATCCCAAGCATCTCAAGTAGCCCATGCTTCTTAATCCCAACCATCTCAAGCAACTCAGGCTTCTCAATCCCAACCTTCTCAAGCAGCTCAGGCTTCTCAATCCCAACCATCTCAAGCAGCTCAGGCTTCTCAATCCCAACCATCTCAAGCAGCTCAGGCTTCTCAAACATGTGATTCATCTTAATTTGCCAAACTATCTTGAGTATAACAACGTATGAGGAGGATGAAAGATCAACATAGGAGCCATTTTGTCAAAGATCCTTTTTTTCATCCTTAGATGTGATGATGTTGAACTTTTGCAACAACCTGTTTTTGAATTAGGATAAACTCTCTTTGAATTATGGTTTCATGGAAGAATGGTTTGAATGTTGTGGAATTATAGATTCTACAATTGGTTAGTTTTGTAAGACTTTAATGTCTTCATGGTTGCAATTGGGTTGTTGGTTTGGTAACACTTTGATGTCTGTGATGGTTGGTTTTATTAGGCTTTCATGTCTGTCAAGGTTTTTGAGTCAGGTACTTAGATATAATTGACCATTTGATATGTAATGTGATGGTTGGAACCTGTTTTTGGTGTGGTGCTTATATTGATAAGCTATTGAGATGTAACCATTTGATATGGCATGAACAAGATATGCTTATGAGTAACTTGTTTATGTAACCTGTTTTTGATATCCAATGAACAAGATATGGTTGTAACCTGTTACTGGTTTCCATTCATATCACAGTATAAAGAAAACTTAACACTCAAAACAAATTACAATGAACTATTGCTTACTGATAAAACTCAAAACAAATTACATTGTTTTCGTACCAAATTATATTACATTACACCCACTGAACTACTACTATTAGTCTACTCGTCTCAAATTACATTGCTTACTGAACTACTGCTACTAGTCCCAAGTAGCCCACGCTTCTCAATCACATTACACCCACCAAATTACAAAACATATTACTCTTAATCCCTCCTAATTCCTCCTAATTCATCTTCATGGAAAACACCACCAACCAGGAAAGCAACATAGCAGCGCACAATATTCTTGACTTTGCTCGAATCTTTGCATTTTCCTTTTCCACCCTATCAATCTTCCTCAGCAAACCAGGTATTAAAGACTTTGAACGCTCACACATTTCTGCATCAAACCACTGAAAAAACCTACATCTTTTTTCACCACTTCCCTATATCAACCCCAAACAATGACTGAAAATTTGATCAATAAGAACTCTATCAATTTGTGATGCCCAAAAAAATGACTGAAAATTTGATCTTAAACATTCTTACCTTTGACTTTGGGCAGACTAGAAATCTCCGCCTTGGGTCTGAAGTGGTCCACAAAGTCTGCATCCGTGCTAACTTCCCACAATGGCACCATTGGGCATGCCTTGCTTCTCCTGTTTCCATCTTTTCTTCAATTCAGTTAGTATTCACACAAAGAAGAACCAACTGAACCTCCAAATCTGAAATCCCCCTACCCCTTTTCTCCCAAATCGTGCGACTCCCTTCCCCCTTTCCCAAATCCGAACCCCACCTCAGATTTTCATAAACCCTACCTTTCTTCTCCCAATTTCTCCTTCTCATCCAATTTCCCCTTGTATGAAACTGAGTAACCCTTACTCTCCATTGTTAAGCGATTTAAAAGAAGTGGTTCCCACAACACGTAACGAACCGTCTCTTAATATTGACGGAATGGGTAACGTGAGACAGTTTTTAAAAATATAGGAGGTATTTTGAGACGTTCAAAACACATGTGGTAATATGAGATAACTTTAAAAACACGTAGGGCATATACATAAATAAGCCTATTTCTAATGGGGTCAAATTGGTCACAACAAACACAACTAATGTTTCCCTTGATTCTCCTTCTCATTTTCCCACAAGGCATGAAACTTTTTCCAAACACAGACTTACCAAACATGAGAACGAAAATAATTTCCCATTCCTAAGTCATTTTCCCACCAATCAAACATATCCCTAAAAGTAAATAATTTTTTTTTTTTAAAGACATAAAACTAATACCGACAACGCTGCCCACAACATAGGGAAACGTGTCCATTACAAGAAGCACTAGCTCGTGGTAGATGCACTTCCTTCTTCATTACGTCCTTTTTTTGTAGGGTTGATGCAGGGCATATAGGGCAGAAAATACCAAAATCAGAAATAATAATAGAAGAGCAATTATTATGGGATTGATACTTACAACTAATAAGGACTTTTCGACCCCAAAAAAAAACATAACTAATAAGGCCGATATTGCTATATACTTGTTGGCATGGTAGTAGGTGATCAATGAATGAAATAATAATATAATAATGGTACCATCTCCCAGCATCGGTTGGTGAGATAACAGCCTCACTTACCCCAGGAAAATGACCATATGGCCCCTCACAGCCTTACCCCACCTAAGCTTCGCCTCCAAATTTAGCATGTGACCCACTGATATTTACCAAACTACCCCTTTCTCCCTCATTTCTAACTACCCACCTGATTTTTGAAGTCTACCCTCAAAAACCTTATATAAACCTCTCCAAACCAACCCCTTCTTTCTCAGAGCCTCCTCACCAACTCCTCTCTCTCTCTCTCTCTCCTTCCCGTCTCTTGTTTTCTCTCTCAAGAATTTCACTTTCAGCTTTCACCAAAAAAGGAGAGTAAGAGAGAGAGACAACAATGGCTCTGACAAACCCAGCAACTCTGTCTTCCAAATCACTCTGCAATACTCACTCTCTTTCCCCTCCTACACCCCAATCTCACCAACCCATTTTCTCTCCATTCCTCACCAAGAGAAAGACCCTCCACCCAATCTGCGCCGCCGCCGCCGCCGACTCCGGCAAGGCCCCCGTCGTCGCCGAAAAGCCTCCCAAGGCCTCGACTGAGGTGAAGCCAGTTTCCGGCAAATGGAGCGTGGAGAGCTGGAAAACCAAGAAGGCCTTGCAGCTCCCGGAGTACCCAGATCAGAATGAGCTCGAGACTGTGCTCCAGACCATCGAGTCTTTTCCTCCGATTGTGTTTGCTGGAGAGGCCAGGCACTTGGAGGAGAAGCTGGCTGAGGCTGCCTTGGGCAATGCTTTTCTTTTGCAAGGTGGGGATTGTGCTGAGAGTTTCAAGGAGTTCAGTGCCAATAACATCAGGGACACCTTCAGAGTTATGCTTCAGATGGGTGTTGTTCTCATGTTTGGAGGCCAAATGCCTGTTATCAAGGTACAGTTTTTGATAATTTCATGTGGGTTATTGACAGATTGTTGTTTTCTTTTTGAGTTTTTAGTTTCTGAGTTGATTGATTTTGAATGGTATATGGAATGAGAATTGAGAATTGTGGGGTTGGTTGATTTAGGTGGGAAGAATGGCTGGTCAATTTGCAAAGCCGAGATCGGAGGCATATGAGGTGCAGGATGGAGTGAAGTTGCCAAGTTACAAAGGGGACAATATAAATGGTGATGCTTTTGATGAGAAATCTAGAAATCCAGATCCTCAGAGGTTGATAAGGGCTTATTGCCAATCTGCGGCTACTTTGAATCTTCTTAGGTCCTTTGCCACCGGAGGGTATGCGGCTATGCAGAGGGTTACACAATGGAATCTTGATTTTGCTCAGAACAGCGAGCAGGGAGATAGGTATGCACTCAAGCCGTCCATAGTGATATTTGTTTAGAGGACTGAAATGAATACCAAAAAATGTCTATGAGCAGATTTCTCTTTTACAAAAGTAAAGAAAACATTAGAAAAAAACTGTGGACTCATAGGAGCTCTGGAGATAATCAAACTTGAATATCTGAATTAGCGAACCTGTATGTATTATCCTAAGGAGCAATTGAGTTTCAATTTGTTTGTCTTTGCTTTTGGTATGGTTTAACAGGTACCAGGAACTGGCTAGCCGGGTCGATGAGGCCTTAGGGTTCATGACGGCTGCTGGACTTACAATTGAACACCCCATCATGACAACAACTGATTTCTGGACATCCCATGAGTGTTTGCATCTGCCCTATGAGCAATCACTCACAAGGAAGGATTCTACTTCTGGTTTGTACTATGATTGCTCTGCTCACATGCTTTGGGTCGGGGAGCGTACCAGGCAACTGGATGGTGCCCACGTAGAGTTCCTAAGAGGACTTGCCAATCCCCTTGGCATCAAGGTAGGCTTTCTCATACTAATCCTAGTTGAGTGACTAAAATGTCATAATTGACGTTTTTTCTCTGTACCTTTTGTCTTTTGCAACTACATTGACTTAAGATGACTTGTGATGCAGGTGAGCAACAAAATGGACCCAAAAGAGCTTGTTAACATCATCGAAATCCTGAACCCTAGTAACAAGCCAGGAAGGATCACAATCATTGCAAGAATGGGTGCTGAGAACATGAGAGTCAAGCTTCCTCATTTGATTAGGGCTGTCCGCCAAGCAGGGCAAATTGTGACCTGGGTCTGTGATCCAATGCACGGAAACACCATAAAGGCACCTTGTGGACTTAAAACACGTCCATTTGATTCTATTCTGGTATAATTTTGCTACCTGTTTCTTTTCTTTTTCAACATAGAGTCAGTATCATTTTCCCCTTGTTGATTGCTGTTGGGTGAACAATCCAAGTCATGTGGAGTAATATGTAAGAAATGTCCTGCAGAGTGAAAAGTGCTCATAATCCTCTGGTGGCTAATTCATTGTTGCTAGTTTGTGGTTAGTTTAGG